ACAAACAAAAGAAAACAAAAAAAATTGGGGCTAGAGTGATAGCACAGCCAGTAGGGCGTTTGCTTGTAAGGGCCAACCATGGTTTGATTTCCAGCATCCTATATGGTCCTCCAGCATTGCCAGGAGTAATCCCTGAGTGCATGAGCCAGGAGTAACCCCTGTGCAACGCCGGGTGTGAGCCCAAAAGCAAAACAAAACAAAACAAAACAAAACCAATCACTCCAGACCCTGATGGAGCTCATGGCAAATCCAGCTCCAGGCTGTAGCCATTTCTCAGGCCTGACAGGGCCACCATCAGAGCTGCCCTAGGTCCAGGTCCCACAGCTTTGAAACGTAGTAAGAACACATTTCTGACTTAGTGAACTGCTCTCTGTCATGCCTTACTTGTGTGATCCCTGGAGGGTTTGTCCTAGACATATTTCACAGAAGAGTGAAAAAGCACAAGCACCTTATGGACTGTCTCAAAATACCCAGGATCAAGTCTACCCAAAATAGACAGATACGAGGAAATAAGATTATGCTGAAATGTAGAGTTGGTAGAAGTTAGGATGCTCGGGAGAGAATGGAAAGAATAAAGTATGTGGGTTAGGGTATTGAGGCGAGACAATAACAGTATATGGATTTGAAATGGGCTGGAACGATAGCACAGTGGTAGGGCATTTGCCTTGCACACAGCCAACATGGCCGGCCTGAGTTCGATTCCTCCGCCCCTCTCGGAGAGCCCGGCAAGCTACCCAGAGTATCTCGCCCGCACGGCAGAGTCTGGCAAGCTCCCTGTGATGTATTTGATATGCCAGACACAGTAACAACAAAGTTTCCAATGGAGATGTTACTGGACCCGCTTGAGCAAATCGATGAACAATGGGAGGACAGTGACAGTGACAGTGACAGTGGATTGAAACAGGAACTCTGCAGCTACTCTTTCTTTAGGAGGGAATAGCGAGACAAAGACATAGGGCTTCTAGATGACACCTAAAAATCAGTGTTCGGTGAATTTTCAGGTATGTAGTTGAATTAATTTTCTACTGTGGCATAACACATTATAAACAGCATCTTAAATCCATACTCGTGTAAGATTGTACTTCTGTGTTTCAAAAGTTTAGTACATACATCCTGCTTAGAATAAAGTTAATACAATACAATCAATGTCTTGTTCAGGCCAAGTCAATATCTGGAAAATAGAGAAATTCCTTTTCAACAACAATGAACTCATTATTGTTACTGGCAGGGTTCATTTCCCTGTGATTTTAGGACACATAGTCTTGTTTCCCAGATGACTGACTTGGAAGTTCTCTCAGCTTCTTGAAGCTGCCTTAATTCTTTGTAATAGAAATAAATTCTCAGCAATTGGTCTGAAATGTTTTTGAAACAAAAACCAAAACTAAATTCTTCAACTTTTTTTTATAACTGTCCACTAATATTTGTACATATTGGTCCATATACATGCAGTTAAAGCCAAGGCAGTAGGTAAAGAGGTTTCCAACTTTTCTATATGTGCAGACTGGTACCAAACAATGGATTGACTGTTGAAGAACATTGACCTATAGATGGCCTTTCAAATGGCAGTCCATTTTGACATCTCCTACTCTTCACATTTTTTTTCTAAAGTTAGTTTCTAGAAAGTTCCAGAAAATGACTGAATCTAGCAATGTTTGTACATAAATGATAGCAAAGCTGTCCATAATAGTCAACATCACATAAACGTTTGCTTGTAGTACCTTGGTTGGCTCAACCTAGAGACGTAAATATTATCCCTTTGATAACGCTTCAATGCATCCTACATTTTTTTCCAGGTCAAATCAAACAACCAGAACAGTAGAAATGTGAAATAATTGCATCCAGAAACACATAGTCACCTTCCTGGAGTTATATTTCAGTATTAGGTCTTTTTTAAAATCACAGAACTGTATCACTACCAAAAACATATCACTATATCACTTGCAATCCTCTCTATTAAGTTCTACATGAGAAATTTTGAGAACTAAGTGACAAGAATGGTCAAAAAGTGATAGAACATTTGAAAATTATAACAATGAATATTATAGAACCGATAAGAGCAGTTTTTATACTTTCAGCCTGAGAACCAAATTCAATTACCAACTCTAAGGAACAGGTAAGATCTTGGGATGACAAGTTAGAAATTTCCCTTTATATTTTATTTATTTCCACTATCCTAATGTTCCTGTCCTTGAGTCTCTGACCAAAACATCTCAAATCATATTGCCAATGAGATTAAATTTAAATAAATAATTAAATTATATTCATCAAGCATACACAACTTTATACCTAGACTATGAATATCTATCTTGTCTAGATAATAGTTTGAGTTAAGAAATTAAGATTAAGGAGCATATCATTCCTTCCATAACTATTCAGAAATATTCAGAAAGAACTGAACAAAATAATGTATTTCAAATAAAATCTTTGCTATGCAAAATAAAATGAAAAGACTATTAGATTGAAAAACCAAAAATTTATTTTTATTTCAGGGTTTCTAAATGCCTCCTTTAAAGTTCAAATTCTGAATCTTTTAAATTCATAGTCATAAACACAATAAAATGACATACAATGCTATTATTTCAAGCAAACCTGAAAAGGTCACTTTAAAAAAGGATTTATATACAATGTAAGTCAAACCCTATTTCTCTTGAATAACCAAGATATATTTAGAGAACAAATCTTCAAACAAAAAATATCTTTTTCAGCATCTGACTCGCATTAACCATTCACACAACGACTTTTTTTAAAAATTATTTGCTATAATTATATGTATTAAACCCAATGTCTGGGTGTCATGTGAAGAAACACAGTTAGAAGATGGATATTTCTGATACTTGATTTCTATATTTAAATATGAAGCACCTGATGAGAAATGTTTTATTAAGATATGAAATATGTAATACATTACTAATTAAATGTTTAGTTCTCCATGGATAAAGAATGTAAAATTCAAAGAAATTAACACTGACAAAGCAAAAACTGTGTGGATGGTGTTGACTCAAATAACAGTATTTAGCCTAGGAAATTCATCAAAGGAAAATCATTTTGGTGAATTAAAATTTTAATTTGTCCTCCTTTGTTATTCCCAGAGCTCTCAGAATCACCTCAGCACTTATAAGGCAGCAGTAGGGTCTTCTTTACTGCCTGTACGTATTAGACATGTATCGTGCATCTTAAGTCACTAAGCCACATTCTGACTACAAAATATAGCATTTTTATATTGATGCAAAAAAAAACAGGGATTCAATGGAATACAATGAACTCTCTTGCAACTAGCAACTTACGTATTATAGACTACTATATACAAATATATGAATAAGCTTATTTATAAACTATAATTTCTACTCATATATATGACATATAATAGACATTCTATTTATAAGTAAAAGTATAAATAGTATGTCTATTTTATAGTGTCTATATTCATATTCCTATTATGTAAATGTATATATAAAACATATTTATTATAGACTATATTTCCATTCCTTTATATTTTTTCTATTTTCTATAAGGGATATAATTTGGGGGCTGGTGAGATAGTGTAGCACTGAAGGTGGTTATGCATGCAGCTGACTTGGGTGTGACCCCTGAATTTCGTATAGTCCAGTAAGTCTGCCAGGAATGGTTGCTGAGTGCAAAGCTAGTAGTAATTTCTGATCATAGCCAGGTGTACCCCCCATCATCAAAGATATATGATCTTTAAAGACTTTCTTCCATCCATTGAATGTTTTCTCATTTTTAGGACAATGCCCTTTATTGGGAGAAAAACTTTTCATTTTGATATACAACAGATCATTTATTCTTTCTTTTGTTTGTACTTTTGAGCCATATCTAAGAAAGCTTTTCAGAACTCATAAGCATGGAGAATGTTTTTTCTTTTCCTCCAAGAGTTTTATAGCATTCACACTTACATTTAGGCATGTAATCTATTTAAACTATTGTATACATTATGAAGTAAAGATCAAGTACTTTTCTCTGCATATAGATATTCAATTGTTCCAACATTATAAGTTTATTATTGTTTACTTATTAAAATTCCTTAGCATCCTTGTCAAGAATCAATTCAGCATAAATGCGAGATTATAAAAATTTTATTGTTATTTTATGTTTCCAATATGTGCTTTTACTACTATCAGTTATTCTCAGCAAATAAGGTCCCTATTTTGGTTACATTTTATACTAAGTAAGACTGGAAGTCCATGCAGTCCAACAATTCCACTCCTTGGAATCTCCCTTCCAAACCCAAAATCATAAACTTGTAAAAATATGTGTACACATATGCTCACTGCAGTCATTAGTACAATAACCAGGATATGGAAACTGGCCAAGCAGACATGAAGTATGGGTGCAGAAAGAATGTGTTGCGTACCTTAAAAAGCACAATACTACGCAACTCTAAGAAAAGATGAAATCACCAGGCTCGGTACAATGGGCAGGAAAGTTAATAGTAGGACGTTAAGCACCATGAGTCAGAGGAAGAAGGACAAATACCAGAAAAATATCACTCACCTGTGGAATGTAGAGATAAAACAACTTACACAGTACCTGAAGATGGCAAACCCCTGGGCTTGGATGACTGAACTGGTTACCAAGCAATTGGGAGAGGTAAATAATTAGGACTGGACTAGAAGGGGCAGAGGAAGTGTGGTAGAGGGTCACGTGCCATACAGTTTGTCACTTTGCAACCTAGTTGACTACAAACAAACAAAATCAATCTCAGTAAAGACAGTGCAGGTTATGGGCTTAATTTGTTTCAGATGATACAGCGGAAACAAACAAACATAGTCTGGAGGCTTCTAGCTAACATAATATTTATTTGATACAGAAATCTCAGAAGACTAAAATGGAAGCTTCCTTATATTTTCTTCTAATGATCTTCACAGAACAGAAAAGGCAAAAAAAAGAAAGTTTTCTATAGCTTCTGTTCTAATCATCTTCATAAAGTAGAAAGAGCCAAAAAAACAAAAAGGTTTCTAAAACTTCTTTTTTATAAAGATACTAATCTCTGTAGTTGGCAGCTGTACAGGGTTGCTGGTACCTTATAGAACACCAGGAAAAGCATCCTTTCCCTGGAGGAAAATGAGGCTTGGCTGCCCAAGCCCCGCCCAGTCACATGCAATTATCCTCACAGTTCCTATGCATTTTGGCCACAGTGACCAGGCAAGGTTATTATCTGTCTAGAACAGGAAGAGGAACTCTGCAGTTAGGATATTGTCAAGCAGATGGAGTAGTGTCTGGTGGAAACTATGTACTGCTACAAAGCTGCAAAACAAATAAACCCCATTCATGAGGGTTCTGCCACAATGACCTAATAATCCCCAAAAGGCCCCGTGTCCAAATATAGTCATATAGAATGATTAGGTTACAACAGATGTATTTGGGCAGCTCAACATCAAATCCATAGTGTAGATATAGACTCAGATATACCATGGTCAGATTATGCTTTTCAGGAACCAAGGAAGAAGTAACTGTGCTTGATATTATCCAGTTATCATAAATCACGATCTGATTTTCCCCTTTCCAAAATTTTGAGCTGTTTCTCATTACTGTTGTATGTACATGTAGTTGTGCAATTTGTTTTTAATTTGGTTTCATTTTTCCAACATGATTGGGTTATAAATCTATTTGTATAAATTTTTATAATTGACAATTAAAAGTGTCAACACTAATTAAAATGTTAAAGCATATTATTCCAATAAGCATTCCTTTTCTTTAAGTAAATATTAATACACCTTAAAATAGTGTTAGTATAATCTTTCATTTCTGTATTTAAGGGCTGGAACAATAGCACAGCGGGTTAGGAGTTTGCCTTTTCTGCAACCAACCTGGGTTTGATTCCTCTGCCCCCTCAGAGAACCCAGCAAGCTACCGAGAGTATCCTGCCCACACAGCAAAGCCTGGCGAACTACCCGTGACGCATTTGATATGCCAAAAACAGTAATAACAAGTCTCACAATGGAGATGTTACTGGTGCCTGCTCCAGCAAATCGATGAACTATGGGACGACAGTGCTACAGTGCAGGGTCCGTATTTAAAATTACAAAAATAAGAATCCAAAAAATATCACTATTTTTTGTGTGTGGTTTGTACCTTTATGGTATCACTTTTAGTAGGTAATGGATAGCTTTAAATTAGTCTAGCAATTACATAACAAGTACAGAAAAAGAGGAAAAGTAAAAATAATCAGGCTACGTACTTAGTGAATGACCTTCATCCAGAAGCTTCCCTGTCTCCTACTCCACTCCATTAGAGTAAGTATTATCAGTATCTCATACCACATATCCTCTAATTTTCTGAACTGATGGGTAAATAAAACATACTCTCCATTTCCAGAGTTTCCAATTTAAAGCACTTAGCGTTCAATCCAACATAAAGCATGCACAGATTTTGAAACTTCTCTTATCCCCTAGTCTAGAGATCACAATTCTCCAGGATTTTAGAAAATTTCATTATCTATTACAGGACCAAGAAAATAAACAAAATTAAAGAGAAAAATGGAGCAGAGTATAATGCCATTTATGTATAATGATATTCATATCTAAGCAATACTTAAGTGGATTATTCAGTTCTCTTCTTTACATTTTGTGCCTTACACTATGATTTAATTGAGTTTATATAATGCACAAACAATCTTATGCAACTAAAAATTCTACTACACTAGCAAAAAAATAAATCCAGGCCCAATATTTACAAGCAATTGGCCTCCCAAAATATTAGAACCTCTATTTATAACTTGATTAATATTTGTTTCATAACCACGTATGATCTAAAATGAGACAAGTGTTCACTTATTATACAATGCCTATGTTTAACATTGTACGTCGAATATTTTTTTATTAAATTTTGGGCACCATGGTTTAAAACTTATTAGTAAGATTTTGTACATGAACTACCAAATAGTAAGATTTTGTACATGAACTACCATTCCCAATAAGTTAGTCTGTCAATTGATGCAAGATATCCTTTTTCTTTTCAAATCCATAGGAATTTTGCTGTTCTTCTATTTACTAGTAGTTCACATTATTCAATAATATTCCCAACTATTGAAAGCTGAAAATCCAATTTACTTCATGAAACCTCAAAATAAGGTAAAGGTAAAGGTAAAGGCCCTCCCGTTGATCATCGATTTGCTCGAGCGGGCCCAGTAACGTCTCCATTGGAGACTTTGTTGTTACTGTGTTTGGCATATCGAATACGTCACGGGGAGCTTGCCAGGCTCTGCCGTGCGGGCGAGATACTCTCGGTAGCTTGCCGGGCCCTCCGGGAGGGGCGGAGGAATCGAACTCGGGTTGGCCATGTTGGCTGCGTGCAAGGCAAACGCCCTACCGCTGTGCTATCGCTCCAGCCACAATATTCACAAGACTATTTATTTTCTGTGTTTTTAAATTATGATTTATTTTCTGCTACCATGCTTTCCCCCAAAGGTAGTGCAAGTTATACTATATATCTTAATAATACTCATATATTAACAATAAATAAATCCATGCAAATAAATTATTAGCTGCAAGGCATTAAATAAGGAGAGTACATTATAAATTAATTGAATTCAAGTGATAACTTTTTTTTTTGTATTTGCTATTTGATAACAGGTTCAGAATCTCTCACTTCTCAGTACTCCAGTTCTAGGATTTTGATAGATACATGTATTGGTCATGCTGAATGGGTAACTAGATTAATCGATGTTTTTAAAATTGGGAATAAAATTAAGTTATATATTCTTTGTAATATCCACTAATAGAACATTTTCTATTGATTAAAATAGCAAAATTATCCAAGTATATAACCAACCAGATTTAATATATAAATACAAAAAAATATTTGAAAAACTTCTCAACAATTTTCACAAGAAGAGAAATAAAATTTAAAATGACAATGAGCTGCCAATCACCTAGCTACTACATTCATAAGAACCATATGTTGGGAAATCAGAGAAACTGGAATTTCATATGATGTTAAGTAGAAGAAGAGCTAATTCAAACTACTCTTTGGCAAGCAATTGGGCAATTATTTAAAAAGTTAAGATTCATTCATCATACTCATAGGTACTTACTTGAGATAAATAATACCCAGGTCTATACAAAGGCTGTATAGTAATGTTAATAGCACCAGTGTCTGTAAATAGTCCAAAATTCGGAAGTAATCCAAATATCTATCAACGAGTGAACGAATAAACTGTGGTCTACTCAGTTAATGGGACTACTCAGCAATTAAATATAGCAAACTGTTGAGTCTTTCTACAATATAGATACTTCTGCATTTAAATAATTAAATTTAAAAAGATCTATATATTGATTCTTTACATTTATATAAAATGCTGATATATAATGACATACTAAAAGAGACAGTACACAAATATTTATTTATGGGAAGAAGAATTATATAAGATTATAAACACTTTCAAGTAATACATATATAATTATCTTGTTGGTGATAATTGACATATAAGTGTACAACTAATTCAAAATTTCTAAAATTGTTGGACTGGATAGATAGGAGAGTAGTTAAAGTGCTTCCCGTGAATCAACCAGGAATATATCCTTAGCACCAAATGCCGCCATGTTCACAGCCAATCTCCACAGCCTCAGACAGTCCTTACCCATGAGGGTATCTGCCAAAAAACGCAGGTACACAGGTTTTGTGACCAAAATTTCCAGACTAAGACGTAGTCAGGAATGGGCAACCTCCCCCACCTCCCTGTTTTTCTAGGAACCTGGCACTTACACCCACAAACTGCCTCTGAGCTCATATAAGCTCATTAACGGGCATGATCCTGAGACTCACAAATAAATCTTGCAAAAAAAAAAACTATAGAGACGCCTCTGAACCCCAGATTCACCATTCAGTTAAAATATTAACTTCAACTGTATCACCCTACTTAAAATTTTAGAATTTCTGGAGCATGCAGCCACATTCACAGCCACACGGCACTTTATATGCTAAATCTTCATGTACCAAGAGCAGCACACCACATTTGATCAGGTGTAAAGTAGAAAGTCACCAACCTTGATTAATTATATTTTTATATATATTCACTATCACTGTCCTCCCATTGTTTATTGATTTGCTCGAGCAGTCCCAGTAACATCGTGAGACTTGTTACTGAGTTTGGCATATTGGGTAGCTTGCCAGGCTTTGCCGTGCGGGTGAGATACTCTCGGTAGCTTGCTGGGCTCTCCAAGAGGGGCGGAGGAATCAAACTCGGGTGAGCTGTGTGCAAGGCAAACACCCTACCCACTGTGCTACCGCTCCAGCCCTTTTATATATATTTACAAGAATATATGTATACATATGCATATATGCACACAAGGCTTAAACTGTAGCATGTTAGTAATCTCTTATACAAGGGCTTAATGATGCCAGGGGGAGATACAATAATTTTCACACATGTTCCTCTAAAGAAACTTTTTTGAATCATTTCTTAGTAGATAATTCATAACAAGCAATGCAAAATAAATTATTTAGATCCTGCTTTGGGAAATTCAAACTTCAGGGGACTGGGGTTGAAAATTTTGAAATATGGTGGCGTGAAGGTGTAATGGTGATAAGATTAGTGTTGAAATATTGAATATAACAAATTATGGGCAACTTTAAAAAAATAAAATTGAATTAAAAACGACAAATTTTATTCTGGGGGCTGGAAAAATGGTACAACAGGTACAGCACTTGGCTTGCACATGTCTGACCCAGGTTTGATCCCTCACACCACAGATGGTTTCCCAAGCCCTGCCAAGAATGAGCTCTGAGCTCAGAGCCAGGAGTAAGCCCCAAGCAGCTCTGCATGTGACCCGCAAACAAACAAAAATGTTATTATTTCAGTAGACTTAAAATTATTATTTTTAAATAACAGTACATTACAATATTATATAAAAACTTTAAATATGATAAACAGAGTTAAAAAATCCCTAAAACCTCACAAAATTTTAAAATTGAATAATTTGTTTTGAACCACTATTATGATTATCAATTCCATGTCAGCCTCAACTAATTCTCATATCTTTCTAGCATTTAGTATGCTTAGAGGGTGTGAAAAAAATCTTTCAAACTTTTGAATAAACTGAAATAATATGACTTATTGCAGCCTTCAGACTCCTCCTTATTTGTTATTCTAGTGAGGATCACATTTTGAAAACATAAATTATATGCTTTAACAGATTTCAATGCACATGAAAATTTAACTGATTGCAACTTTTATACAGTGCAAGAGGTTGAAATTTCTATATAGCTCTTTAGTCATCTTTCCAAAAAATATTATATTCTTATTT